TTTGTTACCCAGGCTGGAGTACAATGGCATGGTCTTGGCTCACTGCAACCTGTGCCTCCCAGGTTCAAACAATTCTCCTGCCTCAGCCTCCCAAGTAGCTGGGATTACAGGCAAGTGCCACCACACCTGGATAATTTTGTATTTTTAGTAGAGACAGGGTTTCTCCATGTTGGTCTGGCTGGTCTCGAACTCCCGACCTCAGGTGATCCACCTGACATACAGGTGTGAGCCACTGTGCCCAGTCAGTTTCTGAGTACATTTAATCAGATGCTTGATAACGAGTTTTTCCTAAAATAGTTAGCTGTATTTTCAATTCACATTTCTGCTTTTCCTTCCTACTTTTTAGGAAGGTGTTGTTTTGTTGTTTTCACAATCATAAAACTGAAAGGGGCATGAAATTCTTGTCCAGGCACCAAAGTGGGCACACACTGAACACACTGGGCGGCTGTACCTGCCCATCCTGTGGTAAGCTTGGCTCCAGGAGCTTCCAAGCTCAGCTTCCACTAGAAAACCCCTCCTTGTGCGGAACAGGTCTTTCTTCATTCCAATCCTCTGGGCCTGGGGCCTCACAGCTCTGGATTGCTGCCTGGTCCTCACTTCACAGTTCTCCACCTGCCGAGCACCCACCCCCACCTACTCAGCCCCAGCTCCTTCCATCAGACTCTTGGACCCTCAAATCCCCTGCTAGAAACCACACCTGCAATGCTGACCTGGAATGTTCATGACCAGGTCTCTGCTCCTGAGAGAATGGAAACGGGGACTCACTGGTTGGCAGCCACTGCACCACAGGCTCAGCCAGTAATCCAACAGTTTAATGAGCACCAATTGTGTACCAAGCCACATAGCTAAGACAGAGCCCCTGCCCTAGAGGGTCAGTCTGCCAGGAGGGAGATCCAAGTCATTTACATCACTGGGGTTAATTGCTGAATGGGCTATGCACAGGAGTGCGCAGGGGACAGCAGCACAGCAGCAGGGAAGAAAAAGCTGCTTCAGAACACCAGGCATGACTTGAGTGCTAACAAACGAAGGGAGAATGCCTGCAGCTAAGCTTAACAAGGGGCTTGCATCCCATCTTCCTGCATCCAAACCTCCCAGCTGGCTAGGACTGCTGGTAAACCCACAGGAAACATCATTCTCTGCCAAGATGCCATCCCACTCATCCAGCAGAATCGAAGATGCCACTTCCTCCCAGCAGCCTTCCTCACATTCCAGCTGGGACAGAAGTCACAGGGAGCAGAGATGGTGCGGTTAGGGGGACACACAGAGACCCAAACAGGAACCAGATCCCAACAGGGCAGATGTGGCAGACCCAGTTCAGTCCCAGCCAGTGTGGAAGACACCAAGGGGGGTGTTTTGTGGGGGTGGAGGTGACAAAGACGATGCAAGTACCTGCTGGGAGTTGATCTACAAAATGACCCCCTCGTGGGAGCAGGCCTGGGCGAGACGGCACTCCCAGGTGACGGGCAGGGACGCAGCTGACAGCCAGCGGGAGCAGGGAAAGGGCACGGGGCAGAGGACAAGCTCTGCTGGGGTCGGGGGAGCTATTTCTGCTTAGGGCAAAGTCCAAAACAAGCACACCTTGCCCAGCTATGGGGCCGTCTGAAATCATCTGGGGATGCCACTCTCCTATGACAGGGGACTAAGGGGCTCTAGAGCCACACAGGCCACTTCATCACGAGGCACAGCATTGCTCCCGCCTGGGTTGCGTTCAGAACCCAGGAGAAAGTGGTGGCTCTCCTGGGGTCTCCGGGGCCCCCACCACCTCCTGTGGGGTACCTGAGGATACTTCCTGGTCTCCCTCTGTCTCCGAAGCCTCCTCCTCTGTTTTCCAGGGTTTCAGATCCCCTGGGTGAGCTGGGTCTGGTCTCTGGGCAGAAGAATTAGCTGACTCCAACAGTCTAGGGACAGGTGTTGGGGCTGCCTCCTCTGGCTGAGAGAAGGCTGGGTCCACAGGACCAGGCTTGGAGCTACATGCAGAACTGGGCAGGACTGGGGGCTCCCTGGGTCCAGGAGTGCTCTCCTTGGTCAGCTGCTGCTCGGGCAGAGCACTTCTGGATATAGAGCTGGACCTAGACACAGCAGGGGTGGCCATGGCCGCTGGTAAAGCCCTGGGGGCAGTACCCATGTTGAGTGCCAGGCCCTCCAAGAACCTAGCTAAGTATTGCCTCACTGCAGGCAGCTGAGGGGACGCTGGAGGCCGACTGGAGGCCAGGGGCAGGGGACAGGGAACCACCTCGTGGTACTCAGCGAAACTGTTCGGGTCTTGAACAACCTCCTTGAGATCCCGGCAGAAGAGCTCGTAATCGTCAGGCAGGGGCAGGTCCCCAACAAGGTAGGGGGCTGCCCAGGCCCGGGCTCGGCCTGTCAGGCGCCCAAGGATCTCGTAGACACGGCTGGTGTTGTCCTGATAGTGCTCAAAGCGGAAGGACATGTAATCACCCAGCTGGGCCAAGAAACGGTCCAGTAGCCATGGCGAGCCATCAAAGGTGCCTGGGTCTGAGCCTGGCACCCAGCAGAAGTCCACCCTGCGGGGTCGGGGGCTGGGCATGCACCCAGCTAGAGGACCCCTTTCTGCAAGCTGACTGCCAGGAGCACCACTAGCTGTGCTCTTCTGCTCCATGATCGTCCGCACACACACAGGGTCCCCGCAGCAGGGCCGCTCAATCCAGGGATCCACAAGGGGGGTGCATGCCACCCCAGGAGAGGCCTGGTCCATCTGCTGCCATGGGTGTGCGTTGGCATAATTGGCGGCTGCCCAGATGGGAACGCGAGGGCCCTGCTGACGGCAACGGCCGCGAGGCATGCTGGGAGCAGAGGGGAGAAGAGAGGAGAGCCAGCACAGGGGGCAGGGTGCGGACAGACGTGGCTTGCACGACACAACAGTACAGGGATGGCTGAACAGGGTGTGGCAGACCCGCACTGGTCCCGGCAAGTGCTGAGGATCAGGGAGCTGACAGCTGCAGCCTCAGGAGAGCTGAGAAGAGCTGAGGGACTGTCAGTCGCAGGCCACCATCCGAGGCAATCTGTCCAAAAACAAGGTGGGGAAGAGCAGGAACCAGGCCTAACCATCACCACTGGACTGGCGGGAAGAGGCAGCAAGCAGGCAACCCTCTGGTACCCAATTAGGATGTCTGAGTGGAAGGAGGGGCCCAGGGGACTGGCCTATGAGGTCTGAGAAGGTGAGCAAATGCTGCCTATGACAATGCAAGGGCAAGGTGGAATGACAGGCGCTGTCAATTTCAGAAGAAAAGGCACCAGATCAGAACTCTCAGGGAATTTCAGGATAGCAGTAGTAGCAATCTTTTACTGGATGCTCCATTTGCACCACCTCCCCCACATGAGGTTGATACTAGTATTGTCTTTGAGGCACACATTGCTGAAGTAACTCGTCTGCAGCCACACACCAACCCATAAGTGAAGTAAGCAGGAGAAACTGGCTGGAGACCACAGCCTTAACCACGATACAGCATGCAGACTATAAACTACATTTGTCTGCTGAGTAGGTTCTAGCCGCCCCAAAATCTCTGAACAACGCACAAACAGCATTGTCATTAGGTTCTTTTACATCCCAGCACCAGGCACACAGCAGGTCCTACCTGCATCCCTGACAGCAGCAGGGAGCCTGCTATTATCTGCTCCCTCCGGACCCCACATGCTTTCCAAATTCACCTCTCACAACTGAATGCCACCTGCAGGCAATGTCACCCCCCACCCCTAAACACCACAGTCCCCATCCCAGCCACAGCCCAGTATCCCAGTCCCCCACTGTAAAATCCTGGAATCCCACTTGCTTTGTCTGCTCCTGCCACTCCAGCCACTTGTGCCCTGGGTCTGGGGAGTCTGAGTTTGATGATTGAACCTGCCCCTTCTTCTCCACGCAGCAGTCACCTAGGGGGCTCCACAGTCAGCTGGCACCGTTCTCTCTGAGTGCAAGGAGTCCTCTGGGGCTCTCACACTCTCCAGCCTAACTCTAGCCTCCCCCCAGCCTCTCTGCAAACGGAGACCCACTCACGACCTCCTTGAAACTCTGTTTCACCCTGCATACAAACTCCACCAGCTCACTGGGAGCACAGGGCCTGCACACACTTTCATCCCCAGTCTCCTATCTGCTCGTCATCCCCCTCAGGATGAGTTGGTTCAAGGACCTCCCAGGGTGGCCTGCAGCACTAGAACCTATCAGGGCCACTGGCCCTACTTCCACCACCAAAACACTCTGGAACCCCTCAGGTCTGACTCCCCTCTGGGGAGTCTTCACCTGAAAGCCCAGCCCTCGACCCTGGCTTCCCACCTTACTGTAAGATTATACTAAGGCCTGGGGGCGGCAAACCCACAGGACAGCACATGAGTGAGTCCAGTCCAGTCCCTCACTGCACTCTAAAAAAGCAGTGACCCCAATCCAGGGCCCAGCTCCTACTCCCAGCCAAGTTTAGGCATCCAGGTTACCTGCAATGACCACACCCATGCCCAGGAGCCACAGTGTGCTACCCAGATCTCTGCCTTCCCTTCTCTCCAGTCCACCACCCTGCCCACTCACCTGCACACCTGTGTCCAATGGAGCCTGGGAGAAAGCTTCCCCGCGCCAGCCAGCCAGCCAGCCAGCCAGCCAGGCCTGCTTCAGCCTGAGCCTTCCTAACGCTGGGCCACACTCTCACCATTTTAAGAAGCTTAGCCCTCCCACGCCTATCAGTCTGTTGGTCCCCCTGCTTCTCTCCCCACACTGCCTTGGCACAGGGGACTTCGGCCCTTCTGAACTGCACGGCACTACCCTAAAGGAGCAGGTACCACGGCGCATGTGTACTTGCCCCCACAAGGCCAAAGGCAGCACCTGGAACGTTGGGGCGTTCTCTGCTCTGGGGAGACCCAGGGGCCCCAAGCACAAAACGGGCCCAAACCCTTAAATAAGCAAGCTGAGTGCACACGACTGCACCGCCCGCCCCCCAGCAACCGCCATGCAGGAAATACGAGCTCACAAGCCCCACGGCAATAAGACGCCCACCTACCCGCCGCTACGCGAAGCGCCCGCGAAGAAGGTCCAGGGATCCGCAGCCCGAGACCGGGGGACGGGCCTCCCTCCGAGGGCGAGAGTCCAAGCGCCACCTAGAAAGTGCAGAACGAGATCGGCCGCCGTGAGGCCAGGCAAGGCGCGGGCGCGACCTCCCGAAACGGCGACAACGGCCCGAATGTCTCCAGGTGCCCCCACAAACCCCCGGCGCGGACCGAGAAACTGAGACCCGCAGGCCTAAGGCACTGCGACCCAGGCTGGTGCTCCGAGTGCCCCTCCGCGGATCAGAAGTCGGGAAAAGACGGAGGGGCGCAGCTCCAGGCCCGCGCGCACGGAGTTCGAAGCCGGCTGCCGCGGCTCCCGCCTCCACACTGACCCTCCGGCCGGAGTCGGCGTCGCAAGCTCGGAGCAGCGCCACGCAGAGCCCAGGGCCCGACTGCGCCGCGCAGCCACGCCTCCAGCGTGCGCGCGGCCGCCGGGTACGAACCCGCGCAGGCTCCCGACACGCCCCACGCGCGCCTCCCAGCAGGGCCGTGCGCGCGCGCTCCGCCCGCCGCGCCTGCGCAGTGCGCCGTGTGGGCGCCGCCGCTGGGACTTCCCGATCCTTGCTGGCGCGGTAGTGCCGCGCGGTGAGTGATGGGAGCGCCCATTCCCACGTCGCGCCGAGCGCCACCGGAGCAGGTGGGGCCGCGCGTGCAGGCGCGAGGCGGTTGGGCCAAAGCTGCCCCCATGATTCCCAACGGGCGGTGCCCGGCGGTCCCTCAGATCCGGGAAATCTGCACCCGGCTGTGGCTTAGACCGAGTGGCCGATGCTGCCTCAGCCCGCGATTACTGCCCTGGAGTCAGCGGGACACTGTGGGGGCTGCTGGGCTTCGAGAGGGCTGCTGGGGGCCGGGCTAAGCCTGGGGGGCTGCAGCTGTCGTGGCGGGTGTGGGCATAGCGGGACTGCTGGGCCTCGTGAGCGCCCTGGAACGGCATGCCCGCGGAGTGCCTCTCGCCACCCAGTGCCGGTGCTGGAAACCTCATTAGGGCCCGGTTCGACGTACCTGCGGCCCAGGCGCGGGAGGCAGGGGGCAGGCAAGCCAAGAGGACCCTCCACCTGCATGCCTAGGGGCTGCGGGCAAGGCCTCTGGGCCTCCTTGCTGTGGGTGTAGGTGTGCTTCCCGACCCAGGCCGAGGCTGGACCCTGAGAGGACAGCGAGGGCAGGCTGCCAAGGCCTCCCCACCGGGCTGTGCCCAGCGCAAGCCTGTCGAGTCAGCACTCAGACCCGGGACCAGACTCGCGGGGATGAAGTGGTGCTCTCCTCCCTTGCACGGGCCGCCCCACACCATCTCTCCTCGGCTTCACGGTGCCTGGAGAAGGGGTGGGAGAGGGTGCAGGCGCCCCAGCCCAGGACCTAATGCCTGTGGGCCAAGGACCTGGATGCAGGCCAGGAGTCTTGGGGCCACGGGTAGCCAGCTGGATTCACCGGAAAGTGACGCTTCTGAAGGGGAACACACACGTAACACACCAGCTCCCTTTCTGCCCTGGTCTAGTGACTCCTTTCATGAAAACTCTCTGAAATGTTATCTGCATTTACACCCAAACTCACTCACTTTGATCCCTGAAACGCGAATCAAAGATCACATTGTACCTTCCCTGGGTCTGTGGGGCTTTCAGCAGCCTAAGCCAAAAATAATAAAAGTGGCACCCAGCCAGGAAACGCCTTCTTGAAGTGGGAATGAAACTTGGATTTTTTCGGTTGTATCTTTCCTAATTGACCTGATAATTTAAACTTCCTCAAGAGAAAGGTGGGGGTTCTCACAAATTCAGCTTACCTCAGCCTCTAGGCAGCTCGGCCTACAGCTCAGCGCCCATCAGCAGAGTGGGCAGCGGGCCTGTGCAAGACATTAATTCAACTAAACCAGAAAAGGCCTTTTTTGGTCCAAATTGGTTTTTTTTTTCTTTCAGGACCTCTCCTGTGCATACAAGTCATGCACCACATAACAACGTTTTGGTTAACATGTATAACTGATCAAGCTGTGGTTACTTTATTACTGAAGAAAGAAAATTTTTAGGCCAGGTATGGTGGTGGCTAACACCTGTAATCCCAGCACTTTGGGAGGCAAAGGCGAGCAGATCATTTGAGGTCAGGAGTTTGAGACCAGCCTGGCCAACATGGTGAAACCCCGTCTCTACCAAAAATATAAAAAATTATCTGGGCATGGTGGCACTCGCCTGTAATCCCAGCTACTCAGGAGGCTAAGGCAGGAGAATCCCTTGAACCTGGGAGGTGGAGGTTACAGTGAGCTGAGATTGTGCCACTGCACTCTAGCCTGGGTGACAGAGCGAGACTCTGTCTCAAAAAAAAAAAAAAAAAGAAAGAAAATGTTTAATATAAATGTGGTACAGCCTAACTATACAGTTTTTTGGGTTTTTTTTAAAGACGGGGTTTCACCATGTTGGTCAGGCTGGTCTTGAACTCCTGACCTCAGGTGATCCGCCCGCCTTGGCCTCCAAAGTGCTTGGATTACAGGTGTGAGCCGCCACGCCCCACCAAGTATACAGTTTTATAAAGTCTAAAGTAGTGTACAATAATGTCCCAGGCCTCACATTCACTCACCACTCACACCCACGGCAACTTCCAGTCCTGCAGCCTCTGTTCATGGCAAGTGCCCTGACCAGTCCCATTTTTTATTTTTTGTTCTGTACTTAATTACTCTACCTTTCCTATGATTAGTGCACCAGTACCACTGTGTCATAAGTGCCTGCATTGTTCAGCAGAGTCATTGTGCACGTTTGTAGCCCAGGGGCAATAGGCCTTACCATACAGCCCACGTGTGTACTTTATAATGATCTCGCCATAACAAAATCACCTAATGACACATTTCTCAGAATGTATCCCTGTTGTTAAAGTGACATATGACTTTTTTTTTAAATAAATTTTTAATTTAAAAATAAAATTTCAAGCTCAATGTTGGATTACAGGAGCAGGATCCTTTTTTTTTTTTTTTTTTTTTTGAGACGAAGTCTTGCTGTCACCAGGCTGGAGTGCAGTGGCGCAATCTCGGCTCACTGCAACCTGCAAGCGATTCTTCCACCTCAGCCTCCCGAGTAGCTGGGACTACAGGCGTGCACCACCATGCCCAGCTAATTTTTGTATTTTTAGTAGAGACGGGGTTTCACCATGTTGACCAGGATGGTGTTGATCTCTTGACCTCGTGATCCACCCGTCTCGGCCTCCCAAAGTGCTGGGATTATAGACGTGAGCCACCGCGCCCGGCCGACTATTTTTTTTATTGTGGTAAAATATAGTAACATTTGCCATTTTAGCCATTTTTAGGTGTACAATTCAGGCGCATTAAGTACATTCATACTCTTGTATGTCCATCAACACTATTTATCTCTAGAACTTTTTCATCACTCCAGAAACTGTCCCCATTAACTCCTCTTCCCCTCCCACCCCCAGCCCGTGGCAACCATCATTCCATATTCTGTCTCTGTGAATTTAATTACTCTAGGTACCTCATATAAGTAGAATCATACAGTATTTATCATTTTGTGACTGGATTATTTCACTCAACATGTTTTCAAGGTTCATCCACATTGTAGCATGTGTCAGAATTTCCTTTTTAAGGCTGTATAATATTCCATTGTACACATTGACCACATTTTGTTCATTCATTTGTTGATGGACACGGGTTGTTTTCACATTTTGGCCGTTGTGAATAATGCTGCTATGAACATTAGTGTACAAGTATATGTTTGAGTGAAATTGCTGAATCATATGGTAATATTTTGTTTACTTTTCGAGAGATTGCCAGACTTTTCCATAGCAGTTGAACCATTTTACATTCCCACCAGCAGTGCATAGGAGTTCCAGCTTCTCCACATCCTCACCAACAGTTGGTTACCTTCCGTTTTGTTCTGTTTCGTTTATAGTAGCCATCCCAACGGTATGAAATAATGTTCCATTGTGACTTTAATTTGCGTTTCTCTAACGACTAGTGAGATTGAGCATCTTTTCCTGTTATTGACCATTTGTATATATCATCACTGGAGAAATGACTATTCAAGTCCTGTGCCCATTTTTCATTGGATTTTTGTTTTTGTTGTTGAGTTGTAAGAGTTTTCTAGATATTCTGGATATTAATCCTTTATCAGATATATGATTTGCAAGTATTTCTCCACAGGCTGCCTTTTCACTCTGTTGATAGTGTCTTTTGATACACAGAAGTTTCTTGTTTCCATTAAATTAAAATGTCATTAACTTAATTTCACTAAATTAAATTAATTTCATTAATTTCCAAGTCCAATTTGTCTATGTGTTGGTGGTGATGGGGGTGTTATATCTAAATCATTGCCAAATCCAGTGCTATGAAGTTTTGCCCTGTGTTTTCTTCTGAGTTTCATAGTTTTATGTTTAACCCATTTTGAGTCATTTTTATATATGGTGTTAGGTAAGAATCCAACTTGATTCTTTTGCATGTGAATATCCAGTGTCCAGCATGATTTGTTGAAAAGACTATCCTTTCCCTACCTTGGTACCCTTGTTGAAAATCATTTGACCATATACGCAAGAGTTTATTTCCAGGCTCTCTAGTCTGTTCCATTGGTCTGTATGTCTGTCTTTTCTTTCTCAGGAAAGTACAGTGTTCAAACCACACCATCCTGATTACTGTGGCTTTGTTGTAAATTTTGACATCACGAAGTGGGAAGCCGCTAAGTTTGTTATTTTTCAGGATTGTTTTGGCTATTAGGAGTTCCTAGAGATTCCCTATGAATTTTAGGATGGGTTTTTCTTTTCTTTTCTTTTTTAAACTAGAGACAATCTCCCCTGTCACCCAGACTAGAGTTTAGTAGCCTGATCATAGCTCATTGCTGCCTCAAATTCTTGAGCCCAACTGATCCTCCTGCCTCAGCCTGTAAAGTACCTATGACTACAGACGTGTGCCACCAAACCCCACTTTTTTTTCTTTTTTTTGTAAAGCTAGGGTCTTGTTATGTTGCCCAGGCTGGTCTTGAACTCCTAGGCCTTGTAAAATATTGGGATTACAGGCATGAACCACTGTACCTGGCCTATGATAGGTTTTTATATTTCTGTTAAAA